GATCGAGTACCTGCACTGATAAATAATTATTAAATGAATAAATACCAAGTGCTCAATGCTTTGTAACCCAACTGATCGAGTGTCTGCACTGATAAATAATTATTAAATGAATAAATCCTAAGCGCTCAATGCTTCATAACCCAACTGATCGAGTACCTGCACTGATAAATAATTATTAAATGAATAAATCCTAAGCGCTCAATGCTTCATAACCCAACTGATCGAGTACCTGCACTGATAAATAATTATTAAATAAATAAATCCCAAGAGCTCAATGATTTGTAACCCAACTGATCGAGGACCTGCACTATAAAATAATTTATTATTAAATTGATAAATCCCAAGCGCTCAATGCTTTGTAACCCGACGAATCAAGTCCCTGCACTATTAAATAATTTACTTTTACATGAATGCATCTCAAGCGCTTAATGCTTTGTAACCCGATGGATCAAAGCTTTGAGAGCCAGGGCTTAATTTAATTCATTATTATTCAATAGTTCAGGCACTCGATCCGTCTAGTTTTAAAGCATTGAGCGCTTGGGATTTGTCTATTTAATAATAAATTATTTTATAGTGCAGGTACTCGATTAGTTGGGTTACACAGCATTGAGCGCTTGGGATTTATTTTCCTAATAATAAATTATTTAATAGGGCAGGCACTCGATCGGTTGGGTTACACAGCATTGAGCGCTTGGGATTTATTTGNAGTGTAATAAATTATTGTAGAATATTGATTCAAACAAACATTTTTATTATAAACATATTTCATTTCTGTTTTCCCAAATACTATTATTAAAACTTTCATTGATTTGTTGTTGCTGCTATCTTGCGTCGTCTCAAATCTCTTATGTAGGAGCTTAACTTTCGGACAGATTTCGTCAGGTACTCGATTAGTTGGGTTACAAATCATTGAGCTCTTGGGATTTATTTATTTATCAATTGTTTAACAGTGCAGGCACTCAACCAGTTGGGTTACACAGCATTGAGCGATTGGAATTTATTTTCCTAATAATAAATTATTTCTTAGGGCAGGCACTCGATCGGTTGGATTACAAAGAATTGAGCGCTTGGGATTTATTTGTACGATTCTAATTAAACGCACCCTTTGATTCGCTTTTTTTTTATTTTATGCATAAAGTTATAAACTAAAGCAAAATTTGAGCATGACTATCTGTTTTTTTTGTCATTTTGCTCGCGAGCAATCAAATATTTTTTTGACATTTATGTCGGAAATTGGGAAGGGGGGCTGCGCCCCCCCAGTTTGAAAGTTGGGGGGCTCGAGCCTTCCCTGCCCCCCCGCCTGGGCGGCCCCTGCTCAGCGAAGTTGCAAAGGCAACCACTCTATATAGATTCATGATTCATTTTAATTTTTGTTCTCAGCTAGCAAGAAAAAATTAACGATTTATTCTCACCGTGACAACTCTTCTCTTATTTTTTATATATTTACAACATGTGCATTTATATACACAAATAACAACACAAAAAATATTCCGTTTTCTAGTAAACATTTTTTTTTAACAACACCCTTGATACGAGGCTTATTTTGCTTACAATGTCATGTACTATATGAAAAGAATTGTGAGCACAGATTTTCGCCGAGGTATAACTCTTTTTTTAATTTTCACCAGACCTCTACCTTACTATCACCGTACTTGCTTAGCCTCACAGCAATGTACTAAATATATTCAGACTAGCAAGAATATAAATTACAAAAACATTTTACTACGAAATTCATTACAATTTTTCTCTCTGATATCCTACTTTTGCTCTTTCAAATATACACGATTACCAATGATTCTATGAATTAATGGAAAATTTAAACTATTATAAAAGGGTTATTGGGGTTATTATTGATAATTTTGTGCTGTCAAAGCTCAAGGTCAAGAATTAATACAAGTGTGAAAAATGACGCTTAAGAAATGAAATACTTTAGCACTGTCATATTGTGATATGATGCATATTATTTAGATACGTTACTATTATTACGTTATTCGGTTATTGGTAAAAAAAGTATAACGAGTGAAAGACAGGCTGACAGACAGACATGCACATGAACATGAGTACAAATCTTATAAATTTTTGTATTGAACTTGCGGTGGAGGCGTAAGGAAAACAGTATACTTATCCTGGCCAAAAAGTGGAGTTACTATTGACCGCACATTACCTAGTGCCTTACATGATAATATAGCGTGGTCAGTTATAGCCCCTGTTTCTGGCCAAAGCAAGTTGTACACTATTATAGAATACATCAGTAAATCAGCTTGGAAGCCAAATGACCGTTTAAAAATCATGGCTATATGGATCACATTTGGGAAGTTAAATTGCACTCTTAACCTTGAAATCGTAGAAAAACGTCATATTTTCATAGAAGGAAGGGAAAAGTCATATTCGCTACATGGGACGAAAGTACGACATCGACTACCGGGTGTTTGTCTCTCCTTACTTTTGGCTCAGTAGGCAATTACACACAGGAAAGATTTTCGTATTGTGGTCCTTTGTGACATAATATACTACTATCAACCCTACGTTTGAGCAGAGGTGTGTTACTTCAGCAAAAAAATATGTCAAATACGTGATATTTAAATATTTGTATAATACTTTTATTGAACCAATTAAATAGACTCTATTCAGTGCTAAGGTAAATGTCCCTATTCGTGGAATGTGTCCCTATTCATGGACTATGAAAATTCATGCATTTGTTATATAACTAATTTCATTAAAAAATTGTGGTGGTTGTATATTTTACGTATCTTTATGAATTCACAAGAAAAATTTCATTTTACATACAATAAATGACCAATTGTAAACATAATTTCATAAATAGGGACAAAGTCGTACATAACCTATCTTTTGAACTGTACGTATTATGGCACCAAACTTTAATACAGAAGAACTTATATACTTCTAGGAAACAAATAAACGATATAATTATTTTTATTAAATAAAATAGTGTAGTGCAAGTGGAAAAACGTTAGTTGTCTTAAAATATTATACTAAATTTACGTTTTTTAAA